ACACTGGATCCTAAATCGCATAGAGCTTTGTCTATGACAGATTTTCCAATTACACATGGTATGGAGAAACTACCAGGATCTTTTAGCTTCGGAGGCATGTTATTTTGAATTATGGCGCTACATTCGGCAGTTAGCATAACGGTTTCGTTCTCAACGATTTTTTTCTTATTAGCCAATATTTCTTTTAGGAATTTAGCATATGACGACATTTGGGTTATAGCTTCTGTAAACGGAATAGTGACGTTTAGTTGTTTCAGAAGTTCCACAAATTTCTTGAATTGTCCCTCGTTCTTGGATTTTGCAAGTCTTTGAGGGTATGGAATTGGTGGTTTGTATGGTGGTGGAGGCACATAAGGTTTTTCTGAGGCCTCTCTGTTCTCATTCGCGTCTTCCTCTACGTTTTCAGATTGATCTTTTGACTTTTCTACTTCCTTTTCGGGCTTTTGGTACATGGTCGGGTTTTGGATTCTAGGATCTACCGGTCCATCAAGGGCTGTCCCACTTCCTAATGTAATAGCATTTGCATGTCCTTTAGGATTGGGCTATGGCTGTCCAGGAAATGTACTAGCAGGTGTGGGAGAACTAGCTTGGTGTTGTGCTACTTGGGAGATTTGGGTTTCTAACATTTTGTTGTGAGTAGTTAGGGCATCTACCTTGTTTGCTAATAGCTTCAATTGTTCACCGGTGTGAACGTTTTGATTGAGGAATTCTTTGTTTTGTTGGGCTTGATTAGCGATAAAATTTTCCATTAGGATTTCAAGGTTAGATTTCTTAGGAATGTTAGGAACATTACCAGCGGGTTTTCGATAACCTGGAGGTACAGCAGGTGCTTGGCCAGGTGCATATAAAGCGTTATTGCTCTTGTACGAGAAGTTAGGATGGTTCTTCCAACCAGGATTATAGGTATTGGCATAAGGATTTCCTTGAGCGTAATTTACCTGATCAGCCATTATTCCTGCTAAGATTTGACATTCGGTTCCAACATGACCAGGTACTCCACAAACTTCGCAGCTTGGGGTAACTGCAGCTACGATAGCTGCAGGAGGTAAGGTCAAGCTTTCTATCTTTTGGGTAAGATCATCTACCTTAGCATTAACTTTATCTAGGCTACTAACCTCGTACATCCCGCCTTTGGCTTGAGTCTTCTCCACAGATGTTCTTTCTCCTCCCCACTGATAGTGGTTTTGAGCCATGTTTTCAATGAGTTGGTTAGCTTCGTCATAAGGCTTGTCCATCAGTGTACCACCTGCGGCGGCATCTATAGATAGTCTTGTGTTGTACAAGAGTCCATTATAAAACGTGTGGATTATCAGCCATTTTTCTAGTCCGTGATGTGGGCACATTCGCATCATATCTTTGTAGCACTCCCATGTATCGAATAATGATTCAGTATCCTTCTGCCTAAATCCGTTGATTTGGGCTCTTAGTGCAGCGGTTTTGCTTGGGGGAAAGTATCATGCTAAGAATACGATCTTCAGTCCTTCCCACGTAGTGACGGAATTTGATGGCAAGGATTGCAACCAAGCCCAAGCTCTATCTCTTAGTGAGAAAGGGAAAAGACATAATCTTATCGCATCTTTACTAACACCATTTGCTATAACTGTGTCGGCAAATTGAACGAATTTCGTAAGGTGTTCATTCGGATCCTCAGAAGGATCTCCAGAGAATTGGCGTTGTTGGATAGCTGATATGAATGACGGCTTTAACTCGAAATCGTTTCGGTTTATTGCTGGAGCAGCAATGCTGTTATGGGGCTCTTGTTGTGATGGAGCTGCATACTCCTTCAGTGGACGGGTCCTTTGTTCTTCGGCCATGTCTAATTCTGGATTGGTTTCGGTTTCAGAGGAAGAATTAGAATCAGTTTCAGAATCAATCTTGATTTCTGGTTTGGGTAAAGGAATAGCGTGATTTAAACAGTAATCCCTGACTGCACATCTTACGGAAAGAATGCGTTCAGGTTCGTCCGTCGATTTGTCAAGTGGTTCGCCTTGTGAGCGAGTCCTTGGCATACAAATCGACAAAGGGTGTCTGTTGCTTAGTATAAACGCGCAACAGAAGAATCGTAATTAATTGACTACCAGTCCCCGGCAACGGCGCCAAAAACTTGATCGGGACTTTATGAGTCTGTCGAGATACTAACTGCAAGTATACAGTTCAGTCGTTCTAGTTTTAAAAGATTATCGAACCCACAGAGACTGTGTATCAATCGCATACGATCTAATGCTACAGTTTGTCTAACTAAGCGATGAATATTCGATTTTGGGGGGGAAACAGTTTAGTTTTAAAAGTAATAGTACTAATTATACCGGTATGTGATAATCAGACTTAGGGAATTCTATGAATCGCTTGGCCTATAAAGTATTTCGGTAAAAGCTAATTGTTTAAAAACCCGAGACATACACTCTCGTGTTTATGAAATAAGTCATGCTACTAAACCTAGTGGATGCACTTTAAATTTAATAACACTTTTTGAAAACAATTTGAATTTAATTAATTTATTAAAACACTCTCGTGTATTTAAAAATCAATGCTTCGTTACCACTATCTGGGTTGAACCCCAACTCTCGCATGCAGGTTCTTGCCTTAATTAATTTCCCACTCTCGTGGCAAAATCGTGTTAATTAACCTCTCACTCTCGTGACAAGGATAGTTAAATTAATATTGGAAATTGGAAACCAGAAATTGTTATATAAATTTTTTTGGCCAAGGTATCATTGAATTCTTTCAGTTCTTACGGTCACATACCTATTATTAATTTAGCCAGACATAATTAACTTAACAGCAATAAAGTTTAAAATATAATTCATGGCAATAAATGGCATATTATAGAAACTAAATAAATAATAATTGCAATATAAAAAATCTGGAATTAAAGATGCTATAGTAATCTTGAGGTAATACAGTAATCCAATCTTCGAGCTTGACTTGCAGTAGAAATTCGTGTTAATTCTTGAAAGAAGAATTAACACTTAAAAATAGAAACTAAGGCTTGAATGAAAATTACAAGGAAATGAAAAGCAGAATTCCAAAACAAACAAATTGGAAATAACTGTAAAATAAAATAAATCTTTGCTCTGAGTAAAATTCTTCGACCCTTGGACTGTGCCTTGGTACTCGTATATATAGCAGGAAAAATCAGCAGTTTAATTTGAATTCTTGATGAAGTCTTCGTGGAGAAATTGTAGGAGCAGTAATAGTGGTGGCAATAAAATAGGAGATTCAGTAGGAACATGGAGAACTAGTCTGCCCTTCACGCCCACGTCTTCAAGCCATGCGTAACGTCCTCCTTCACGCGCGTGACGGTCGTCACACGCTGAAGTGGTGCCTTACGCCCGTCAGGTGAGTGTGACGAGCGTTTCCTTATGTTGAGGGGTGTTACGCCCGTCACAGGGACGTGACGACCGTCACCTATCCAGAAGTCCCAACTTTGTATTTTTTTATTCTTTTTCTCTTTGTTTTTCGTCTAGCCTTCTTCATTATGTCCTTTTTCATTGGTTTGAGTCGACAAGTGTTATACCTGCAAAAAGACAAATAATCTTGGAATAATCGGGGGTTAGACGACTTAATGAAATATAAAATCGGTAAAAAGCATGTTAATTATACGATATGTTTTCTCGTTATCAATAATAACATGTATATTATCGCCCTGCAACGCACACAAATATAATAGAATTTAAGAAAACCAACCATTTACTACACAATGCATAGAAAATCTGTAATACTGACAGAATATGCCACATAAATTGTATAGAAAACAGAATAAAGAAAAACCACCCTAAAGATGATCCAGACGCAGAGAAAACATATTTTACCGTTTTGTCTATAAAAATCATTTCAAAATGCTCTTTGATGTTAATCAGCACATTTCACTTATGATGAATCCTGATTGCAACCTTCCATAATTCTTTACCGTCATTGATGTCGCATATTTTTTCAATAGGACTTGCCATGTTAAACCGATCGGAGGGAGAAGATGCAAAAATGTTAAGGTTTGAGGCAGGTGAAGTTGTAACAGAAGTTGAGAGAATGAAAGGTTATAAATAATTGTAGCCATGGTTTTGGGACGATTGAGAAAGTAATAGAATGAACATTCATTTGAAACCAACAAATTAAAATTATGGATACAGTTACAAAATTGACAATGAATATGGGAGGTTGGAGTGGCAGGGCAAAGGAAAGTCGCGGGGAGGTTACACGAGAATGGTGAAATATGAAATTGGAACCAAAGAAGCTATCCACGTGTTGTGTTTTTGGAACAAATGGACAAAACAAAGTTTTTGAATAGAATGACTTTTCTTATATTATAGATGTTATTGATGATTTGTTTAATCGTTTAATTTACAATTCTATTATTATTTAAGTAGTAAAAAGAAAGAAAGAAATAAAGAAAAAAAGATTTTTTTTTTTAAAATTTAAATGGCAATTTTAACTTTTAATTATAATGCTATTTTTTTTTGGTAGATCTTAAAAAACATTTGACAAAAAATCTCAATTTTATTTAAACAAATCAAATTTAAATTCTAATAACATTTGACTAAAAAGAAAGAAATAACACTTATAATTAAAAAACAAACTTTCCTAGCTTTTTTCTTCTTCCGGATTTAACTCCGAAACTTAATCCAAAAAATCATTATACTGATTTTCTATCTATTGTCGTTCCCTTTCACTATAAAAATCCATAAATAAAATATTAATGTGCACGATTCAAAGTTTTTCAATCAATTCTCAGTAACTTCCTTGGCTTAATTTTGGTCTAAGGTACACTTGTTTAATTTTTTACTACACATGCCATGATATTTCAAATAGTGATAGTTATTTTTTATCCCAAAATTGAATTAATATCAAATAATGTGTTTCAATTTCTAGGTCTTATGAAAAACCACTATGAACTGTCCTATTAATTTCAATTATTTTTCTCTGTTTCAGATCATATTAGTTATTGTGTTCATCAATTGAGTTATTATAGAGAAAAAGTTGTTACATATAATAGTTTTGAAAGAATGGTGCAGAATTGGTTTGTTACAAGCAATTCACAAATAACTAATGGGAAGAATGGTGTTGTTGGCAAAAGAGTGTTATCTTCTAGCACAAACACTTCACCTGTCACTGTCAGCAATGGCCTTACCTTGGCATCGCATGAGGTTACGGTTGGAAACAACGGTATGGATCATGTAATGACGCATTCGCAGCGTAACGATTCAAGAAGTACATCTGTTGCTCCGCGCGCAATGAGCCTAACTATGGCCGAGACATTGGTTCACGGTTCACCGTGTTCTCACGCACCTAATCAAGTGAGTTTGATTACTTAGCATTATGTTGTTTATTTGGAAAATGTCATTAGTAATCAATCATGTTGTATGTTTTGTTTGATATGCAGTTATCTGTTCGGACTCAGAAGGTTGATGAGCAGGCTCTTAAGAAATCGCGGTTATTAGTCCCTATGATGCCGTATATGCCAAGATCCATGGTATTGATGGATCTTTCTTTATTTCTGCTTCTTTTGATGTAATGTAGTCATGAAAGATATTCCTTCTTGATTAGTGTTAATTTATTTTCTTGCATCACGTGTTGCCTTGCATATTACTATCTATTCTACATACGATATGGTCTTATTCATTGTTTTAAATTGCGGTTGTGAGTGTTGCGATTGCTGTCATTGTGGCCATTGTAGCGTAAATATTTATTACAAGAGACTTGAAATTCATAGTTGAGAGACCGTTAAAATTTTGATTGAGATTTAGAATTCTGACATTTAAATTTTTGGTGAGATAAACCGAACGAACAATGCCCAAAATTATCTGATGCGATTCTTGACGTGGTTTGTTGCACATCTGATTTTAAATTACACCACAATTGTAACTATAATTGTGGGTTTTGGAGAGATGAACTAAAATAACATGCTCAAAATCATCTTATGTGATTTTTGACGCAGTCGCACATCTGATTTTAAATCACACTGCAATTGCAGCTATAATTGTGTGTTTTGGTGAGATAAACCAAAAGAGCAAGCCCAAAATTATTTGATGTGGTTGCACATCTGATTTTAATTCATATTGCAATTGAAGTTGTAATTGCGGATGTAGGCCGCAATTTAAAACATGGTCTTATCTTTCATTGGGGAGTATATACTGATTTTGAGTGTTATATATACTCTATAGAAAAACTCTGCATAATATATTATTACCTCTTTTCTAGGCTGAGATTCCTGATGCAATGTCTATGTATAGTCATGTACTAAAATCTTTTCTTTGTACATATAGTTCTATACTTGACTTGATCTCATTATTTTTTCTATCTTGGATATTATACTAACTTTAGAGTTGTTTTGGTATATGTTGTAGGGTGCTAGCTCTTTGGTGAAGTTGAAGGTCAAGACCAACCCACAACGGTATCCCATTCCACATTCTAATGCTTTGCGAGAGTTGAATGGTGTATCTTTAGCTGCAAAGCCTAACTTGAGATTCAATGGAAGTAGGACGCTAACCGCAACATCCAACGCTACTTCCGCTTCTTCCGGGAGTACAAGTAATTCAACTCCTTCTGCGTGGAAAACATTGGAGAAGAGGCCTACTTTTCAAACCCAGAGTAGAAGTGATTTCCTTAGGAATCTCTCAAGGAAGAGTTCCTCAAACGACGCGTCTCGTGTCTTGGAGAAATCCAAAGCAAGCACCGAGAATGACATTAGCTGCACCGCTTCAAGTTCTAGAGATTCAATTAATAAAGAGCAACAATGTAGAACCAAGTTTATTTTGAGTTCAGAAGAAGAAGAAATCGCATTCTTGCGTTCACTTGGGTGGGAGGAAGACAATCAAGACGACGAATGTCTTACAGAAGAGGAGATACAAGAATTTTATGATAAGGTTAAAAATTGTTTATTTTTCTCTAGTTACATTACATTGAGTAAATGTTTATATTTGATGTTTTTTTTTAATGATTGCTCTTTAAATTTTATGCACTTATTTTGTTATTTTATCATGCAGTATGGGAAATTGCAACTATTTGAAAGAGATGGAGCAGAATCGGACAATCATGTATATGTGTGTTAAACATTTTGTTTAATAGACCATTTTGTATCACATGAAAGTAAAGATATATGCGGATTTTTAAAATGTTAGACTTCAAAACTTTCATTGCAGATAAATAAGTATAAATGATTATTTTTGTTTATCAGTGTCCAAATTACAAACTATTATTCATATTCTATCATCGTTTATGTTTTTCTTTATTAATGTTCTCAATAGCTTCTCCATGGTATCCAATACCAAAAAGACTTGCTCTCTAAGATAAAAGCTTATGTCTTAAACAAGCCCTTTGAGGTTTCACTAATATGGGGTGAAGTGTGTTTGTGATTTAAATATAACTCGTAAAAAAGAGATAATGCAACTTTGGATTAAATACAAGTGAAAATATTTCTTAACAGAAAGTAATGAATTTTAGATTCACTTGGCTTTATGTATTTTTAACTTTATGTATGCAACAGTGCTTGATTTTATAATAGAAAAATGATATTTTGACACCTAAAATTGATACTACGTGTATATACACTATTTACAAATACGTGAATAATATTTTTATATTATTTTGATTTTTTAATGTATTTTGTCTAAAACTACTTTGGTTAATAAAATATTAAAACTTAGTTAATACAATTTAAAGTTTGGTTAATATAGTTTAAACTTGATTAATATTATGTATAAAGTTGATTAATAAAGTCATAACTTGATTAATGAGTATTCAAACATAAAAAATATTAAATAGTAAAATTAAATTGATTAATGAAGTGTAAAAATTGATTAATACATTTAAAATTTAGTGTCAGAGCATCGTTAATAATATATATTTTATTGTTTAATAAAATAGTGAAAATGGTTAATGAATTATAAGTAAAATAATTGGTTAATGAAATACATTTTCATGATTAATACAATTGTAATATTGGTTAATGACACAATCTTATATTTTTATTATAAAATAAATTTTAAAAATAAATAATAAAATTATTTATAAAAAAAATACTATCTTATTAAAAACACATTGTTCAGCGTATAAATACGGTGAACAATATATATAATGTAAATATTAGTGTAAGAATAGCTGTCAAGATAGCACATCTGTAGTTAATATTGTGTATCATTGTATTGTGTTGTAGGATTTTGTGTCATTTTCTTGTGTTATAATATTTGAGTTATATGTATATTTGAGAATCTCAATTATTTCATTGAGAAAATCTCTTGAAAAAAGCGACTTTCGTAGAGTTCGTAACAATATGCCAAAAATTTGCACATAATTTGTATTATTTTGTAGAAATTGTCGAATATGACTTTTATATTAGTTGTTTAACACGTGACTTCATATTCAAGATGTGAGATGAATTGCGAAGGTTTGAAAATAGTTTATTTAAAATAAAATTATTATGGAAATCAGAGTTCAAAAGCATTTTATCAAAAGTGTTTGAATATGCAACGGAAATTCAAAGTAAAGAAAAACAACGGAAAATAAAAGAGATAAGTGAATAGATAATGACACTAGAAACCTATAGAGGTTCGGTCTATTGAAGTGATTACTGTTTACCGTGAAATTTAGTAAACAAGTGCTAGTCTTCCAAAATAGGTTACTCGTAGGAACGACTAATTGATCCTAGAACATATGTGCATGAGTATTTATGACTTTGTTTGAGTGTTTGTTGTGAAGTGAAATCTAATTGGATTCCCACTAAGTTAAAAAGTAAAGTTTGCACAAAATAAAGGGATTTCAACTTGGTCGAAATCTGGGTAAAAAATAAGGCAAAAAGGTAAGTGTAGGAAAATATAATTTAAAGTGAAGTAAAATTGTTTAAAATGTAAAGAACACGGTATTCAGTATCATACATTTTGCTTAAATGACTCGTTTCTCGCTTGACATTTGGATACTTTTAGTTTGTGAGTTTTTGTAATAATTTTGACACCCTGAATCCTAACACTATGTTTACCGTGGTTATTGGTAAACAACCGCTGATCTTCCAAATGGTTACTTATTTGGTTACTCGCAGGATCGATCAGATTGATCCTAAGACATGGTTGATTTTGGGGTTTTGGTTAAGTTTGACAATGGTTAAATCACAAGGAAATAAAGAAGCTTTATGTAAATTGCATGAAGAAGAGAACTTGATAAAATAAAGGAAGGCTTGAAATAAAGGTTTTCGACAGGAAAAGTAAAAGAGAAAGCAAGTAAAGTTTCTGGAAAATAAATGACTTTGATTAATAAAAGTGCTGTTTCACACATACATTCTCAACAATTCTTTCTCACACGCTGGGTACTCGAATCTATATGAGTGACTTTGTATATAATTGTGAACACACGCGAAAAACTGCGTGAACTACTACTATTTATACTAAAACATCCCAAGTAACCATCGGGCAGTTACACTGCTTCGAGATGACTCCACTTGGCACATTCTCAGCGTTCGACGCTCCAGATCTTTGCACGTTGCACTTGGTAACCGCTGGGAACCGTTTTCCCTCCAAACGCTTGAATTTCAAACCGTCCCACTCTGAACAATCGAACACCTTCGTCGAGAAGCATTTTCGACTAGAAACACCTTCGACGTCGAAGGCAACCAAATTCTCCTTTGGAAGAAATCCTCTAAGCACATTGCCATCTTCTGATGGGCATTTCGACAGATCCAACTGGTCGAAAACATCGAAAACATCTTCCAGCTTTAATGGCTGAATATTAATAAAAACAAGGGTGTCGAATTTAGGAGCCAACAAATTGCCCCCCAAGAATGCCTTATTTCGACTCTGAAAGAAAAAGGCATTCTTTGAAATGCCATTCGATACCTGTCTTTTCATTCTTAGTCACAAATTAAATTGTGCACTTTTTTGTCTTCTACCAACCACTGACAATCCCAAGGAAAAGCCATCATTTCATCCGTACCTAAGACGTCACTTCAGTACGGCGTGCAGCGTGCCAAACGTCTTTTCACAAATTGTCATCATGACAATTCCCAAAAACGAGGACGCACGCTGCACCCTTTCATTTCTGTAGAACGGCTACATCAACAGGGAGACGCCACGTGTCCCACTACCTTCTGCAACATTAAATGGCATTAAATGTCCTCGAATTTGGGGATTTCCCCAACTACTATAAATAGCGCCAAGTACCCATTGTGGGACTTTTTCACGCTACCTTGCCTTCAGATATTCCTTATTGCATACAAACTCTCTGCAAACTTTGCAAACCACCTATTCTTCACTTCATCTTCAACATTAACATCAACAATGGCGTCCGGTTCTTCCACCGCTCCTAGTTCTAACATCCCTTCTGGAAATGTTAAACCCAGGATTTTCTCCACTGCTCCCGTAGTCACTCCCACAGGTCAACGAAGGGTCCCTGAGCCCCTAGACATCGCTGTATGTGACGATTATTCACGCCAACTCATGATTCCGGTTGGATACTCCAACCAAATCTTTGCCATGTCTGGCCCGCTATACCCAAGCATCGCTGAAGCCATGAAAATCAAAAGCTACTTTCCAGTGCTTGAAAAACTCAAACCGGTTGGATGCTCTAAGAAAGATGCAGAGGATAATGAAGATCCTGCTAAGGAGAAAATCGACCTTCGTTTCTTCAATAGAGGTGTTAGGGCTTTCAGGTCTAGCCCTAGCCCCACTCCTGACTATAGTGCTTGGCTGGAAAAAATGGAGAAAAGCCAGGCTTCGATCTGGAAAGACATGGGGATATTCGATCTGGTTATGTTGTCGAAGACGGGTCTTAACTATTCCCCAGAAATGTTGATAGCTTCCTTACTCTTCTGGGATTACACCCATTTCACCTTCCACCTTCCCTGTGGAATGCTGACTCCCACGCTCTTCGGCGTGACCGCCATCACTGGCCTTCGACCCACTGGGGACTATTTCGACCCAGAGGAAATGTCGGAGGATCAGATTGGATTCTCTGCCACAAAACCAACCTACACCACCTACATCAATCACTACCACGATAAGTCGACGGACGCTGTGTCGAATGTAGAGCATATCGCGTTTCTAGCCCTATGGCTGTCACACTTTGTGTTTTGCACCAAGTCTTTACAGGTGACCAAGAAGATGGTCACTCTCGCCACCCAACTCCACCATGGCCAAAATATCTGTTTGGCAGAATTGATTTTGGCGAATCTGTACGAGTCGATTAGCAACGGAGCGACTCTTTTGAAGATCATCGAGAACAAAGCCAGTCTGCTGCTCGCTGGAACTTTTTGGCTGCTTCAGCTGTGGCTCAATGCCACCTTCAAGTCTTTCTTACCTCAGAAGGCTCAAATAAATGAGCAGGCTCCGGAAATAGCAAATAGGTGCATCGAAGGCACCAGATTGGCTCTGCTGACCCCAACGGAAGATGGGCTGGAGCTTCAACAAACTTTTACAAACTTCGTCTTGATGTTTGCAAAAAGGAAAGAGTTTGCTTCGACCATGGCTCCCTTTGCTCGACGAAAGGTTGGTCCAGAGTGGTTCACGAGGCCACATCCTAAGTCGTCAAGTGGTCCTCAGGTCGAAGAACATACAACAGTGTGGGAAGCATTTCTCACACCAAGAATAATGCCCCTGCGATTCAAGAGCTCCAAGACTCACTTGAGTCTGATCGCGTATCAACCAAACTTAGTGTCTCGCCAGTTTGGTATTATTCAAACACTTCCTTCTCCTATTTTTCCCAGGGAGAAGTCTATGTTATACTTTTGCAACGACTACACTGAAGATGCTGCCACTAAGCATATCGGCAGGTATGCTGGTCGAACAGTTCTTTCGTTGTTTGACTATCAGCTTAACTTTCTCTGCTCACCATCCTTCGAGGAGTGGTGGAAAAGTTACTACGCTGAGGAGTTTTTCGACGAGAAGGACTTCGTGGACGAACTTCAGAAGTCTTTTGTTCTTGTCTTGGACAAAATAAAGAAATGTAAGTTTATCCTTCCAAATTACTTTGTCTTTCCCTTTCGACTGGTAGCCTGTTAATTATTTTGTCTACTTTCAGTTGTTCGAAAGCCTGCAGCCAAGAAGGCTGCAGAAGGCCATCAAGGAGG